TTTTTACTGCTAGACTTTTTTTGCTTTCTTCAACAAAATTTCCTTTTTGTTTCTGAATTATATCATCATCGATTCCTTTTTATTAAGAATTTTATTTTTCTGTTTCTATTTCTCCTCCGATCTTAGCATGATTAGCATAAATATTGTCAAGTTCTGATTGATATACCCAATTCAGCAATTATAACAATGACGATCCTCCTTAAATAATTTTGTTAACGCCGAGAAAAAAATTAAAAAGGATTTCAATTATAGTGTTACATAAACCATATAATGGTATAATTTACTAAAAGAAAGGGAATTATAGACAGGCAGAAAGGAGGGAAAATTTTTTAAAGATTTTTAATATACATGAGGCCGTGAATGTCATATAGTCGTGAATAATATTATTGAAGGGCAAAAGAAGGGATAGAGAAAAAAAACAAGGAGAGAGGGGAGTTTGGGAGTGAATAGTGCTTGAAAAAATTTAAGAGGAAAAATTAAAAAAAATTCCAGCTAACATTGATTAACTAGTTTCATGATTTTTAACAGGTAATAAAAGACACAATAGAAAGGATTAGGGTAGAAAAGCATAGCATTTTTACTGTGAAAACTTTGTTAGGAGAAATGTACAGTAAATTTCAATGAATTTTCGATGTTTAGAAAATTTTTTAACAGTTGTATAAAATATTAAAAATTCCCGACTCCCGAGTTCATTTCCAGAACCTACTCTCGATCCCATTTTTTTTCTTCTCCCGAGCATCAATACTATCTACAATTGGAATCTATGCAGGTTATAAGTTTCGCATAATATTTTTCAATTTAGAACTGACCTAACGTGTAAAACACTAAAAATTTATAGGAATTTTCTAGAATCCTCAACAATATTGAAAATATGTATTCATTTTTTCTTTTAAAAATTGGAAAAAATTTTTTAAAGGCTATTGAATAATGGAGACTGCAAGATATGAGTAGGATGAAAAAGAGGATAGGGCTTTCAGGCGCGCCGAAATTTGCGGATTTTAATTTGCGGACCCGAAATTTGCGGACCCGAACTTTGCGGACCCGAATTTTGCGGATCTTAGATTTGCGGACCAAAAATTTGCGGACCGACAATAGATTTATTTTCATATGATTATCTTATGATTTATTTTCATACGATTTAAATTTTTACTTTGAATCATAGGCAAGAATAAAGAAAATAGGAGTAGGAAAGCAAAAAAATTTACTTTGAAAAAGTTGTTTACGAGAGCTATGCAGTATTTCCAGGTTTGCTCATGAACATTGTTTTTGCTATACATGTACGGATTAATACGTGAGGTCCCCGTAAGGTCCTTCTAACTTTTGAGGCACATCCATCATTGGGTATCCGCGGATAATCCGTTTTTACTCAAAACTTCCAACCTGGATAATATTTTTATAATTGTCAATTTCGTGGCGCGAACTTTGCGGACCCGAATTTTGCGGACCCGAACTTTGCGGACCCGAAATTTGCGGAACGAAAGTTGCGGACCCGAAGGTTGCGGACACGAAGTTTGCGGACCTGATCTTTGCGGAACCAAGATTTTAAGCCCGACACTTGAGTAAAAAGGAAAAATTAAAAATTTTATTTTTCGAGGATTCCGGCAGAGTTTACCATAATCCGTACCGGATTCGAGATTTTTTCTTGATTTTTCAAAATTTTTATCAATTTTCTATCTTAAAATTATTTCATAATTTAAATAATCGAGAAAATTCCTTAAAGAAATCATTTATATGGCCATTTCATAAGGCCATGATGCCTAATTTATCCAATTAACGCCGCAGGCTAAAATTTTTGAAATTTCCGAGGTTCATTAGACTCTATTGTCGGTCCGCAAATTTTTGGTCCGCAAATCTCGGATCCGCAAAATTCGTGTCCGCATAGTTCGGTTCCGCAAAGTTCGGGTCCGCAAATTTCGGGTCCGCAAATTAAAATCCGCAAATTTCGGCGCGCCGTCAATTTATGTAAATTAAACATTTTTACAACATTAAATAATGCCCATATTCATTTTTACAACATTAAATAATGCCCACGTGCTCAAGAGCTGCATTATACTCTTTTCATCTCTATATAATTTTTCTCAGGTTATAACTGATTAACTGATAAGAATGTTACGATCAACAAAGATATAATCAGATAAATTGTGGTTTTAATTTTTTAATTTTAAATTGAAACTAAAACTTTAGCATTAAAACTAATTTTTATTTATCAGTCCGGGAATCGACAGACATTACTCGCCTGCATATCAAGACAGAAATTTAAGTATTGTTATTTCATAACAATACTTAAATTAATTTCTCAGATTACGTTTCTATTGTTATAACTGCTTTTTTCAGCATCATTATGTATACCTTGAATATATCGAGGTTCAGAACCAAGTTTAATATCTAGAGATTAAGAGAAATGTTAAATGATTTGATGGAATTATGATTTGAGGTCTATTATGAGGAATAAGTAGTGATTATTAGTGGGGTGCGGCAAAAATACAAATGCATATTTTGAGTGCGAATATGCCATTTGATTTTTTCTAAAAGTGGTCAAACAAATATTTTATCAAATTATTTGATATTTGAAAGTATTTGAAAAAAATTTGACCAAAAATGTATGAAATTTTTATAAAGTTTGGAATTATCTATAAATTTCAATATTAAGGGAATATTTAACATAATAATAACTAGAGGTCGGCACTGGACACAACACTGTATAGAATTTTTCAGAATCGTGTCTGAAATCCTTGAAAACAATGCTAGGTTTGGAAAAACATTTATTTATATGTAATTTTATTTAAAAGGACAATTTACAAGAATAGGAAAAGAGTAAATTATTAATACAATGTATTTTTATATTAGCAAAAACGTCGAAAAATGATTAACAATTTCTATGTAATTTAAAAATGTAAAAGTATAACATTCAAAATCACGTTCTTTTAATAAATCTTGAACTACTTTACCAGCTAAAACTATTTCTCCTTTAGCTAGTGCAAAAGGTTATTCTGTTATCCATCAGACCACACCGCCTACTGAACAGACTTAGGAATTATATAGTAGCTAAATGCGTTACACTAGTAAACTGCTTTACACTAGCTTTAGCCCAGGTAGATTTTTCTTTCTTTCTAAAATGACTTCTCTAATTTTTTAGTATCTATAGTGAAATCTATTTTAACCTTAAAAACGGTATGCGGGATGATCTCCCATATTTGTTTTATTTCCAGTTGGAACCGTTGCTTATCTTTTAGTAATTAAAAAAAGTCAAACTGGGGAATAAAAATTAATTCCTTTTTATTGTTAATGGGCAAAATATAGAAAAGCAATTGTAATGAAGGGAAGAAGTCCGACCATTTTGTAGATATACATATAGGAAAAAACTTGGAAAGGAAAAAATGGGGTCTGTCAGGTTCAATATTACCCAGCTCCACTTAAAATCTTTTTAATTATTTTCCTTTTCTTCTTCTTCTTCTAATTCAATTAATTTCTTAACACCCTCATACATTTGTTTAACAGCCTCAAATTCATTAATTCCTAAACGTTTTTTATTAGAAATGTAAAACATTGTTTTCTTCTTCGGTTTCTGTATGTTCTCCATTAATTCCTCTAATTTGTAATTTTAATTCTTCACAAATTTTTTTTAAATTTTCTTTCAAACTAATTTTTGGTAATTTAATATGTACAGAAGCACGTATTGTTGTTCCCAAATTGGAAGGGCAAAAGGTTAACCAACCAAGTCGTTCATCACGCGAAAAAGTTATCTTTATCATAAGAGAAAAGTTGCAAGAGTAAATGTTGAGAGGGGAGGGGGAGAGGAATGGAGTTTGAAATAAGTATAAAATATATGGGTCTTGTCAAGTTTATCCGACCAAACAGATACGTCGAATCACGTTTTTATGCGTCTATACTGTTAGGATAAGAACCATGTTCTACATGTCAGAAAGAAAAAAAAAAGCTAATTTTGGTGCCGTTCGACTCAGCTCGCCGAGCTCTTTCGAATGACATATAAATTGTTCAAATCTAAAATCCCCCGGTAAAGTGCAGTTAGGCCAAGATAAGTACTTTGTTCTACATGTTAGAAAGAAATGGCACGTAACGCTTGTGCGTATATACATCAGGTTGAGTAGAACTGTCTATTCAGTCAGATTTTTTGTACTAAAGTGAACAACCGGGCACTTATCGGCATTGAATAAACGCATTAAATTCAGATCAACGGATAAACATTTAATTGGTCGTATACATATAAAGGTGCGATTGGATGCATAAACTGAACAAGAGCCAGATATATACATCTAAAGGATCCGACTTGATTCACAAAGAATTTGTTGCTAAGATTTTTAAAGATATCTTAAGGCCTAAATTAAAATTAAGAACGCTTGTTACGTGCCATTTCCGACTTGACCCTAGGCAAAGGGTTTGGCGTCGCTACCCGCTTCTCATTCCCCCTATTTGGGAAAAATTTATAACTTTTTTTAAAATGGAGATAAAAATTTTATTTGTTTGCCATAATATAAATTGGAATGTTGCCTAAGGTTTACCAAAAAATCAAAATTTTTGACCGTTTTATTTGAGAGTTATGAATTATCTAGCAAGGTACTACTTTTCCTTAAAAATGACTAAAAAATGAGGTACTTTTTGCTAAAAATGCCACACATCTAATTCGAGTAGAAATTATATATTTGCCTTCTGGATCCAAATCTTTGAATTCTAAATAGTTTTTTAAATTGGATTATTTTACAATATTAGCAATTAACCGTATAGACAATTCACCGAACGAACCGAAGGATAATTCACGGAATAGACAACTCACATAATGTACAATTTACTGATTGGCCGAAAGATAATTCACCGAATGGACAATTTATTGTATGTTAATTAACCCGAATGGACAATTCACCGATCGGAGAATTCACTAAAACTGTCAAATTTTACTTTTACGTCCTAACCCCCTACTGATATGAGATAATTTTTTAAATTTTTGGGTGGCTTTTTAATTAGATAGCCACTATGGGATGAAGTTACCTAAATGATATATTTATGTGGTAATTACCTGAAATGTTGTTTTCTCCAAAATCTGTCGGTGGATGTACTGCTTCTGGTCCAAAACCTTCATGATAATCGTCAATAATCGGATTGAACAACTCGGCAAATTTATGATATGATTCTTGATCAGGTGCGTAAACACCAATACCAGAATCTGGATTAGCAACACCTAAATGATAAATAAAAAGTTAAACGAATCTGCTATACGCTTCGATGAATTAGGCAAAATTAAGCCTAGTTTATTTTTAAATAATTCTGTTAAATATTTTAAACGATAGCTAACGTTAGAATACTGGAAACTATTTTAGTTTCCGGATCCAATATAGGAGCCAAAAATTTCTGGATATCCGGTTTTTCGAATCCTCATATTTAGTGTCAGCCAGGGATGTCACGGTTACCCAGAAACCCGATGCACAAAACCCGGACTTTTTTAGACCCGAAACCCGACACGACTTTTTTCTCAACCAGGAACATCCCTCGTGTGTACCAATCAACCAAGTTAATTCCTAGAATTAGTATGACCAATATCCCTCCCGCGTCCCCCAATTTTTACCCGAAAGAATAACATCAAATAAAGTTGCCCCAAGTTTTGTCTTTTTATATTTTAATTTTTCTTTTAGATTTTCAGTAAAATATTTTTTTAAAAGAGAATTAAAATAGTTATTTTCCTTAAGTTTTTTATATCCCTCTTCAATTAATTGTACAGTATCCTCGTCAGTCTCAGTTGAAGAAGCCATTCGTTTCTTCAAATTTTTTGGGTAAAACAAATTGTTGAATGTTTCCCAGTTGTACTTAGTGTCTGTAAAAAAGTTTTTTTACAATCGAATAATACTTTAAAAAAGTCGAAACTTAACAAAAGATACCCATTTTAGGTTCAAACCAAAAGGTCAGAAACCAAAAGGTCATTTTTCAACCAAAAGGTCATTATAGTTTTCCTACTATAATTTTTCCACTTATTCCAAGATATCATCTTAAGCACAGAGCGGATCAAAAGAAAAGCCATGGAATCAAGATACAAGACCAAGAGTCCCGAACGCCTCTACTAATTAAAATAATAAAATATGTACAATTTTGAGGAATTCCAACAAAAAAATCATTTTCCCCAGCTAAATTAACAACTTTTATAACATTGAAGAAAATTAGAAAATTAATAATAATTAACATTTTCTTAAAAAATAATTTGAAAGATGTGTTGTTCACGAAGGTATTCAATTTATTTAAATAAGAGAAAATATTTTTTAAAAATTTACATCAGTCTTTGAAAATTTTTTAAAATTTACATCAGTCTTTGAAAATTTTAATTCGATGAATCTTTAAATTTTTAACTAGCTTATAAAATTTAAATTGTAAAAAAAATTTTTCCCAGACTCATATTTCAAAATAAAAACCCAATTTAAAAATAAATTATGTTGGCCAAATTCAATTATGACTGAAATTTTGAATTTGGCAAATAAAAAAGCATTTGAATTTCTATATAGGTAAAATTTAGAACCTTTAAAAATGAAGAAGATTGTCAAAATTTAATGTATGAGTCATTCCTCTTTATCAAATTAGAAGTTGAATGGTAATCAGAATGTAAATATCAATTTTGGAGAATTTTGAATTTTAAAAAGCGGAAGGCAAAAGCCGAAGAGCAATAAAGGCCGAATTCTGCGGAAGTCGGAAGCGGATCCATTTCTCTATATTAAAGATAGTGCAATTGTACTCTTTTACAACAATTACGAAGCAATACAATAGCGTGTTTATCACATAATAGAAATACAATAAAAGTTGATGAAATAGACTAAGGTTGCTGTCAATATTGTTGGTTTTTTTTTGCGAACAGCCCTTGATGAGATAAGTCGAAAAAACACTGTTTTACCGCATAGTGTAACGTACTTTTCAAGTTATTAAAACCTAAAAAACATATTTCGACATTTCGGACCTAAGACCTATTTTGAGCCTATTTCGACCTTTTTTGGACCTATTCTAGGTTTTTTGAAAATTTTTCTTAAAATTTCATTATTTTTAGTCAATTTCCGCCAAATCTAGCATCTTTAACACCAAAAACCCAAAAAATTTTGGCTCTACTTCAGTTTATGCGTCCAATCGACTTTTATGCGTCCAATGAAAGTTTATGCGTCCAATAAAAAGAAAATTGGATTTTTCTTGGTATTGCACAGTTGAGGTATGTGTCCACAACATTTCTTCATGTTCGGGACCTACGTCCACTGGGTCTGGGACCATTCTTTACCCTATCCCTAGAAATTTTTTTAAAGTTACAGCCAATTTTTTAAAATTTCAGAAAAACGATTATAACTTTAAGAAATTTCGAGGGGTCGGGTAAGGAACGGTCCCAGACACAGTGGACGTAGGTCCTGAACATGAAGAAATGGTTTGGAGCCATAACCCAACTTTGCAATACCAAGAAAAATCCAATTTTCTTTTTATTGGACGCATAAACTTTCATTGGACGCATAAAAGTCGATTGGACGCATAAACTGGAGTAGAGCCAAAATTTTGCCTGCGGCGCTAGTATTCTGGTATATCTTCATTTAGTAGGAACTAGAATCTGCCATCGTACTAGAACTGCCCTCGAAAATTGTAAGGTTAACATTTATATTAGACATTTCAGTGATTTTCCCTGACTAATGAATTTTAATGCTACATAACACCATTTTGGTCAACAATTTTTTTTTAATTTGTAAATTTTTATTTGTTTATTTGGGAATTTTGACAGATAAAAAAAAGATATCAATGAATTTGGAGTGGAATAATTGATTTGGGCGATTAAAAGAGATAACGGAGATTTGTTTTGTTAAGTGGGGGTTCTGGATTATTATTTTTAGTAAATTAGTTTTTAATTTTCCTTTCACTGTATACCTCAGAAGCCCCCTGGTGGATTTGAAAGAAAAAATCTCCCGATATAACGTTAAATCAAAGATATTTCTTTAATTATTCTTTAACCTAATTAAATGCTACAACTCCGCCGCCTATCCAAATCCCTTTAACCCATAAATCCCCATTCAATTCAAATTCATCGATATCCCATTTTATCTCGTACACCCCTTATATTACGAAATCCCTTAAAATGCTACGGTATTTAGGGTTTGGCATTGTTATATCACTCAAATTTCGGTAAATTTCTATTTAAAATAAAAAAATATCATAAAAAAAGTTCAAATTTAATAAAAGTGATAACAAAAATGTTTTAATTTCAACCAAAATTAGAACCTAATTTGTCAAAATTTGGACCTATTTTGGCCTTTTTTGACCTATTTCGGACCTATTTTTAAGTTTTTTGGACCTAAATAGGATCCTATTTAAGTAGTAAACCCCCCCCCAAACGTCACACCGTCACACCCCATTTGATCACCTGTCAATTAAACCTGAGGCTATAGGGGGTATTTTTCTTTTGATCTTTGCCGCAAACCCTTTGCTTTTGGAAGGGTTTGAGGGTAATTAATCATGATTAATTAGGGTAATTAATCATTGATGATTAATTGCTTTTTGGTGGAAGTTTGCGGTAATTGACAGGTTTGACGTTTGTGGTGTCTGGGTGGTCTGTTGCAACATTTGGAGGGTAAAATAAAAATTTTTAAATTATTTTTTGAAAGTGCGGTAAAATAAAAGAAGTCAAAAGGTTTTGGTGGGATGTGAAAATGTGGTAAAATCATAAAGAAATGAATTTAATAATAAAGACACTTTATAAAATTTTAAAAAATAAAATCCCCAAGCGGAATCGAACCTTCACCGTCGTGTTTTTTTCGTATGCGGGAACCTTATCCATTCGGTCAAAGGGGTGTACTTAAATTTAATAAAATAATCGGATAAATTATAAAAATTAATTTCTCTGTGCATTTTGGGGGATGGGGTGGAGGATTTTAAAATGTTTAAAAATTTCGTAATTAAAATTTTAAAAAATTTAAAATTAAAATGTGAATTCTTGAAAATAATTAAAAAATTAAATTAAATTAAAATATAATAAAAATTATTACAAAATTTTGACAAAAATAAAACAATTTTAAAAAATGAGCGGAATTTCAAATGTAAGGAGGATTTAATCAAAATGCCAAATTTCAAATTTTGGCGGGAATTCAAAATTTAAAAGTTGGCGGGAATTCAAAGTTTAAAAGTTGGAGGGAATTCAAATTTTAAAAATAACAAGGATTTTAAAATTAAAAAATTTAAAAAATATTAAATTTAAATAAAATTTAGATTAATTAAATTAAAAAATGTGGGAAGAAATAATATGTCAAAAATTTTAAAAAAAAGGACGGAAGTACAAATCTAAGGGGAATTAGAAATTATTTAAAATGTCAACTTTCAAAATGTCAAAACGACAAAATACCACACTTCGAAATGTCAAATTTTGTGTCTAACCTTCCATTAATAAAAACCGTTTAATTAATATTAAATTAATAAACCCTCATTGTCAATTAAAATTTGAACACCATTAAATAATTTAAAGTATTTTATTTTACAATTTATCCCAAATTTTTCTACTTAAAATTTTATTCTATAAATTATCGCTTCTTAATTTCGTATTTTCTTTAAATAAACATAAATTTATTTAAACTAAATATGGTTCATATTCCCTTTGATCCGCGAACAATCGGATACGATGATCATCATACAGCTATCAGTCAAATAGGAGGAGGGACTGATGAAAATTATTACTATTTTCGTGGACTTAATCCTTATCAGCGTGGATACGGAAGACAAACAGGTGGAGGAGTTGGAGATGTACTTAGAAATTTTTGGCGATTCCTTTTACCTTATGCAAAACGTGCGGGAACAGCTGTAGCAAAAGAAGCTTTGGATACAGGCGGAAGAATTTTAGAAAGTGTGGGAAATCCAGAATATGACCAGGAAGCATTTAAACCAAATTTTAAACAAACAGTGATTAGTGAGGGAAAACGTGGATTAGACAGATTACTTGAAAAGAGTGGAATGCCAAAACAATTTGGAACCGGATTGCAAGCGAGGAATAGTATAAAAAACCTCAAAAGAAAACGTAGACCTCATTCAACATTTTCAAAAGAAAAAAGTCATCAAATAATTATTGGTAATAAACCTGCTCATAGCTTAAAAGAGAAACGTCAAAAAATAGATACATTCGGTCTTTATTAAATAAAAATGTCTACTCATCAAAAAATTGATCGCGATTCTGGCAACGCAATAACAAATGCTTTATCATTTTTCGAAACTCCTCATACAAATGTTAGTATTAGCAACTCATCATTTATTGAATTACTCACACTTAACCCAGTAAATATCACCCCTTTTCATTTCAAAATCCACGCAAGCACAAATTATATTGATTTGTCCAAAACTTATGTTTTTACTGAACTTAGGATTAAGAAAGAAGACAAGGATGGGAAACTTGTTGATATAGGAAAAGATGATAATGTGGCAAGCGTGCAGCTTATAGGACATACGATATGGAAAAATTGTCGCATGCATATTAATGGAACACAGGTTTTTGAAGGGAATTCCCTCATGGCTTACAAAAGTATTTTTGACTACGAACTAACCTACCCACAAAGTGTCAAGAACTCATACCTTTCTGTGGCAGGATATTATGATGATGGAGCCACACAAACCTACCCAGGAGTTGATTCTAATGGATATGGAGTTAAATCAAGGAAAAGATTATTCTTAGACGAAGATGGAAACCCGCGTAGTGCACAATTTATGGCAAAATTGGATGTTGATATTTGTAATCAACCAAGATATTTAGTAAACCAATGTGAAG